GGGACTCGGTTTTTTTGCTGGAGGCAACCAATCCAGTTTTTTTACGATTTTTTTGGTTCATTTCAACTGAAAGTCGATTTCCAAGAAGAAAGTGATGCTCACAAACTGATTGTTCGGCTATCTTCTAGAAAGAGAACATTTCAACAAATCTATTAAATACTCGGTTCGGCTCGGCCGTTACTCTAGCTTTTCTGCTGATGCTATTTGGTGGCATCGCTTGTAGACACCGCTTGGCATTTTGTCAGGAGCTGCCTTGGGAGACAAAACCGCCATCAACTTGCTTCTGGGCAGTCGTTGAGAAAGGAAGTCATCGAAAGCCTTGCCATGCATGATTACTTTTGGTTGACGCTTGCTGGCACTTGGAGTCCATTTCGGATGTCTCAGCTCCCCACAGCTATTGGGTATGGGGAAAATTTGCATTACTGGCATTAATTTTTCAGGAAGTACGTGTACATCGTGGTATGTTGCGTAGTGCACGATATGTACTGGAAATGCTGCATGCAAATCGTGTTTTGGAGGGCCTGAAAATGAAACATCCAGAATATACGATTGTTGTTTGTGGACATTCACTTGGTGCTGGTGTTGCTACATTGCTAACTCTACTTTTAAAGTTTGTATTCAAATTTACTTGTAAATTTTTAACGCTGCTTCTTCCCTGCTCATGACCCTATGTTTCCCCCTCCACCTTTGAAGCAAATTTTGATAAATCAGGTGTTTTTCCAACAAAAAATTCCAACAACATTTCCGATTTAGTAGATACGGAAAAAATTCAGCAACAGATGGTGATATATTTTAGGCAGACGTTCCCTTCGATTCGTTGTTATGCATTCTGTCCGCCTGGATGTGTTATCAGTGAAAACGGTCTGAAAGAAACCGAAAAATATGTATTCAGCGTTTTTATCGGCGATGATATCGTACCACGTCTTTCATTCCAAGTATATTTTAAATTACTGTCTGAGACATTCTTAGAGAATGCGGTAAATTTTGACGCTAATGGATTTCAAAGCGAATCCTGATGGCCCAATTAATTCTGGCTCTGATTCCTTTTAAACAGTGCTAAATACGATAGAAATTAATGGAAAACTTAATGGATATTGATAGGAAACAAGATTAAAGAAGCAATAAAAAAAGAAACCGGCATAATAATAGCAGTAGTAATAATGCTAATAATAATGGTAACGATAATAATAATAACAATGATAATAGCAATAGTAATAATGGTAGTAATAATAATAATGGTAATAATAACAATAATAATAGTAACAATGGCAATAACATTATTAAAGCGATTTAGTGATAGTGAAAAAAGAAAAAAGGAAAATATCATGGTGTAAAAATAAGAGCATCAGGGAGCAGTTCACTGTAAATAAGCTCTTTTAGTGTCGTTTTGCAGACGTTATGCAAGTTGAAGTATGATGTGATCAAATCACTGGCTCTAACAAATTCACCAAAATACAAAGTTCTACTGCGTGGCTTCTATCGTTTATGCTTCTCGTCGCCTTGGGAACCTGGACGGGGTAAGCACATTTTTGCTTGTTTGTCAGCCCAGTTTTGAGGGAGAAAGTTTCTGTTGCTTGAGCAATTTTAAGAAGGTTCATGGCATAGCTGATTCT